TTWWTTTTTTTTAATTCAGCCTTGATCCAGAGTAGAAGGCCACATTTCTAGACTATATTCACATGGCTTCTTGTATATGTAAATGTCAGACTGTGTTTAGAGACAATGGGCCTCATGCGAGAACCGTTCGTACGCACAGATTTGTTCTTAAATTGTGCGTACGAGTGATTTAGGAGAATTTGTGGCATTCACCAATGTTTTCGTATTCTAAGATTTTTTTCAGATACGAACAAAATTCACGAGTGGTCCAGACCTGTCGTAGATTTTACGARCAGTCAGTCTGCTGTTATCCAGACGGGTTTTCCTCCCTAATAACTTTATATTTCGTTAGTTTGAAGATATTTTGAGTTGAAAATAAATCACACTCCATAATTATGTTGACAATAGGCTATTCTGCTTGAATTAGAGTTATAATTTTAAATGTAATAATTTAGACTAACTATAAATTGTCCGTCCGGCCGGCTTATCCGCTATTGGGTGCGGCGTGGGGGGGGCGCAGCAGGAGAAAGCGCGCTCTGCAGCGACACTTTCCAGCTCGTCCTGGGGGACTCTGAGACGTTCCCAGGACAGAGGGGATATATAATCCCTCCAGCGAGTCCTTGATTTTCTCCAAAGTGCCAGACTTATTTTGAAAACATTTTAAAATGCTTATTTCAAACCCGCATCTGAGACCACCGCAGCGCGGGGGGTGCACGGTGCGCAGCGCTGTGCTGCGGCTTCTGAATAACTGAAAATGATTTAACACAGTTGTTTATACTTTTAGCAGCTCTTTTTATCCCACAGCTGAGCTGCTAAAAATGACAGATTTTCTTTTCTGGATCTCTGACAGACGGACTTCAATCTCTGAACTCGTAAAGTTCTTCTTTTTTATAATTATCGCTGTCATTTCTCATGAATGAATGGACACTTCCTTGTATGTGAGGTAGGAAACACAGCCTTATATGGTGTTTTTGGGGTGGTAATTATGTTAATCTCCTCTCGCATGCACGAGCAGCTGGATAGAACAGGTGGATTTACGCAGCTCATTTACGCACGTTTCCTGAAGATAGAAGCGTTTGTTGAATCTGACGTGGCATGTTCGTACGAACCCTTTGTACGAACAAWAGTAAGAGAAATTTAGGATAAGAATACGAACATGTTCTTGCATGAGGCCCAAGGACTTAAGCTCCAATTTTCCCCCTTTGGGGACATTTATTTTCTTTTATTTGTTTTCTTCATGTTCATTTGTACTTTTGACAGAGTTATTGGGAGTGAGCAAGACTTGTGCAGGATTCGAAATTGATGCTCATTCATAAAGTCAGAACTCAGTCCAGGCTGCGTAACGTGTCAACAATTGTAGCGTGTGCTGAAAGAGGATCGCCAACCCTATCGAAGCACCAGACTATCTAAATGGGACTTTGTTATGCCAGTCCATGGTGAACGGTCAACCGGAAGTAAGACAAGGCTTTTGACCGAAAACCGTTACAAAGTACCCCCAGAGGTCTGAAGACTGCTCCGGGTAAGCAACGCTGAATTCACGGCAGCTTGGTGTGTGTGCGCTCTCTRTTATGAATTAAAATCAATTTAGAATTAACGCAGGTCGTGTCCTTCCCCATAACTTGGTCCCTTGATAGTTAATCTAGATAATGATTCTTTAGTTGTGCTTTAGAAAAGTTCTTTTATTCTGTTAGGGTAGAAATAGGTTAGAATAAGTGATTCAGTAACAGATGATATTAGAGGTAGTTGTCAGGTGATGACTTCACATTATTATTAAAAGTCATAGAGATTATGATAATAATTGTGTTTCTGTCTGCCCAAATAACCTGTCTGTATTGTTATTTCTGAATTCACAATATAGGGTATATTGTGAAATCTAAGCTTTGTTTGTGCATCTTTTATTCGTGTTTTACCATCATAAAACTGAAAAGCGCTCCGTCCTTCAGTACATGAGATTAAGTCAAAAAATACGAGATTAATTTCCTGTTAGAGCAATAGGTGGTGCCCTTTATTATGTTAATAAATTATAAGAAAACTTATAATTTAGCAACTCTTCATTACTTACGATTCTCCTACAGTTGTTTCAAGACTTAATGAAATGACATTTGAGAGTTAAATGACCAAGTTTAGGTTGAGTACAGACTGAAAAATAGAAGTAACACACACACAGTAGATAAATAGTGTTTAAGACAAACATAGGCAGCTATCAAAGCTCTTGRTGATAGTATCTGTAAGGGCTGAAATGAAGTATTTTGGAGATGAGATTTGATAGTTTCAGTTCTGTCTGTAATTTGTTCCAGGTTGAGGGGGCGGCAAAGATGAACTCTCTTTTCCCTTGTTCAGTTCTGACACGAGGAACTGATAATACTAGATTGTTGGAGTGCAGGGAATAATGACTGTATGATGTTTGTATTAAGGTGAAAAGGTATAATGGGACTAAGCTCAGGAGGGTTTTATAGATTAGAGATGTCCAGTGAGTGTATCTGTGAGCGGTGAGGGATGACCAGCCAGATTTGACATACAGTTCACAGTGATGAGTTAAGTGGAGTCTGTGATGAGCCGTAGAGCACTATGTTAGACAGAGTCTAAGGACTGCAGGTATTTTGATACAGCGCTCACATACAGCACATCACCGACTGTGTCATGAACCGACTGTGTTCTATCGGTCAGATAATTTGTGAACCATGAGACTGCCTGTTTTGATAGACCAGAGTGTTCCAGAATGTTTATCAGTAGTCTGTGGTAAACTGTACCAAATGCCTTGGACAGGTCTATGCAACACAATATTTTTTTTCAGTCCAGGACATGTTTGAGGTCATTGAAGGCTTTAAGAACTGCAGTAACAGTGCTGTGGTGTTTTCTGAAGCCTGACTGAAATGGTGATATGATGTTATTTGACTCAAGGAAATCAGTTAACTGGTCACAGACAAGTCTTTTAAACAGTTTGTCTAAGATACGTAGTTTTGAGTTTGGTCTGTAGTTGTTGACATCAGTTGGTTTTAGCAGGGGGAGAACAAAAGCTGATTTCCAGACCTTAGGTATTGTATTTGTGTTGAGACTGAGACTGAAAATATATGAAAGTGGTTCAGCAATGAAATCAGCAGCTAGTTTTATGAAAAGTGATTCAATATTGTTAGCCCTGCTGCTTTGCACGTGTCAACTGTCTTTAGGCAGAACCTCTTCGGGAGACACTGGTACAAAGTTAAAACGGTGTTATTTAGTACATGTGGAGTTAGGGGTGGATCACCAGCCTGGTCAACAGGTGACATTTCAGCGTGCATTGATTCAAATAGGGAGCCAGTGGATATGATGTGTTCATTAAAACAGTTGAGAATTGATGTTTTGTCTGTCAGAATACCTGAGCTGGTCATTATGGAGCTGGGTAAGTCAGTTTTTATCTGACCAGAATTTGATTTTATTGTTTGCCAATACTTTTTAGAGTCATTAAGGTTTTTGTTTTTTTGTTTTGTTTTTTGTTTGTTTTTTAGTGGTAACTAGCTTTTTTATTATTCTAATGTAAAATTCTATCAAAGATTATTTAAAAAAATGTTCTTTTCTGTTCTTTTTACAAAGGATCCCAATGCTTTTAAAATGTCCTTGATTCTGCCAATACTCGTTTCTTGGAATTAGTAAATTACATGGAGTTTTTACAGTAATCAGTGTTTGTCTGTTACAGGTTAAATCTATTCAAGCAGTAATTTGGTCTCTGCCCAAGGCCACTTATCTGTTGTTTATGAGTAACCTATCTGAAGATTGTTCTCACTCAGTTCTGTGTTGTGTTTTTTCATGGAACGTGTCCTTGTTGTGCAAACTGACCAGTACACCAGGTCATAAATCTTTTTTGGACAGCATTTTGGCCTCACCTAAAAAAAAAAAACAAAATTAAAATCTTTTGTCCCAGTTCCTTCCAATAAATAATTATAATTATAGGCCTACCTAAACGATCAGCTTGTTGTTTTGTTCACTGTGTGGAGGAGTAGAAAAGACGACACAGAAACTTGATGCAGAACCTCACTTTACTCAACTCCAACTCACTCTGAGCGGTAAGCGCCAAAAACAATACACTTTTTATACGAACATTTTTAAATAACAACATCCTGTATTCTGGGTGTGAGCAGAGCCCCCTAGTGGTTCACCACAAGTGTGGTTTTAAACTCTGGGCAAAATTAAATGAAATTTGTTGGGGATTTATTTATTTATTTATTTATTTATTTATTTATTTATTTTACTTCTTCACGGTTATGGGGTAGATTTATCATATTGCCCTGTCTGCAGTGATGGAAGCTGCAGGCAGCTCCAATAGAGTTTCATTGGGGTAATAGTTTTCTAACAAAATACTGTTATCATTTAGTGGCTGAGTTTTTATGTTGTCTTGGAGTTGCTGTTAAAGGTGGGTGAACATCACATAACCTTTGTGATTAACCTTTTTAAAAAAGTCAAAAAGAAAAAAAATAAGAGGACCTACTTTTTTTTCCTACCTGGATTACTGAGATGCATCAGGACCTTTGGGGGAAAAAAGCTTGTTTTGGAAATTTTTAAAAGTTTTAGTTAAAGAATTCATATCATCAGCTGCCTTGAACACCAACAAACAAATGAATGCTCAGAAAGAACTTTCTTTGTCCAAATTGTCTGTCTGTTACAAATATTGCATGATAGAGCGATTGGTAGAGGTGTCGCCTCTCAGAACGTTGCTGGATTGAACAGGGAGGACTTGCTGAATAGAGTTTGCATGGTCTCTCTCTGTCATACATGTCAAGTTGTACAGCTTGTCCGTAAACTATGCAGATTTTCCCCCATTTGGCAGATGCAGACGTACAGGGCAATCTTAGAGATTTTTTTTWGTCTCATAGATTTTTCAAAAACTCAGCTTCAAATTTGTTTTACATCTCAGAGCCTGTAGGACACCCCAACCCCCACCCTCAGCTCGCCGCTAGCTAACAGGCTAAACTGTGGTTCAACATTAACCGGGTGAATAGAGCTCGCTCACAGCTTTGCACCAGAAAACTTAGTTAACGTCATCATTGCTGTGTTAATAAAATGGCTCAGTCCATGTAACAATATATTTTTAAAAATGTATAAAACTGTCCATAGGCTACTACAATATTTTTACTGTCTTTATTTTACAGTTAAAATAAGTGTTTATTAGTTGTCTAATGTTATAAGTAATCATGGATCCCTTTAAACTTGTTCTCAGATTTATTCACGTGATATATTCTGGCTAGTAATAGGTTAAGAGCAATCATTTTAATTTTATTTAGAAATTGAGATTAGGATGGTTGAGGATCCAAAATTATCATGGACAGCCTTTATTTTAAGATAAGAAGTAATTAAGGAATTAGAATTTGGTTGGGATTAGGACAGGGATTCCTATATAATGGGATAGAGCTGTTTGTGTTCCTGGTGTCAGCAAAGGCACTAATGTGGTTAACATTAATATGGGTATTAATATGGTAATATTCAATGTATCTTTAATCTTCCCATGGGGCAATTTGTGTTACAGCCAGCAGGAAAAGAACAGTCATCATAAGTACAGTAAACACAATACAATCTATCACAGTGTAGACATAAAAATATATCTACTACTAACAGACACACACATACTCAACAAGAAGTATTTAAAAGGACAATAACAACGTGGGGACTGAATGGAAATGACTAGGATACGAAGTGGCCTGAAGTTGTAGATTCTCAATCAATTGTTAGAACTGGACTTACTTTCTTGTCCTGAATGGGAGTTCCAGGGTTATATATTGTGGTTGAAATAATAAATGGTCATTGTAGGCACATGAGTCACCAGCCCAGTTGCTCATTACATGTGAATTGTTTACCTGCATATATGGTTTCATGTTTCATGGTGTGAAGTTTGGAAGCTGCCTAATGAGAAAAACCAAGTCTGCAATGTAGGTGTTGGATAGCTGAAAACATAAGGTCACCCACCTGTTATTTGATCATCATTTTGTCACCTGGCCCAGCATGACGAGAACAATCAGTCCCAGCAGGGGCCATGAAAGGAGGAGGGGACAGTAAAGCACATGAAAATTACAAGAGGGTAATGTCATAGCCAACACACTGTCCAACACATTAGGCATATGACTACATTTTAGAAGGATAGATCAGGGGGATAATCCAAGCAGGTCTGTCAGATAACAACAAACTGTCACTTTAAACTACCTAAAACTATCAAATTTTAAACAAAATGCATGCAATGCGGGTGTTTGCTTGAACAAAAAMCAGCAAATTTTTGGTGCGTGAAAATGCCCAAATGTATATTTGTTTTTGTTTGTTTTAACTAKTTAACATACAGATCATAAAACTATTCTATAAATACAATCTTTATTGTRTATCTGACAACACAGTAACACATAAACAAACTTTGCACTCTGGTATGAAGCCTATCCCCATGTCTACCTTCCAAACTGGTTCCACAGGAGGAACCAGATAACCCAAACTATTCTGCCTGTAATTCTGAGCAATCACTAAAGCCTACCATTTTCTTGCTATCTACCTTTAAAAATGCTTTAGAGCTCAGTCCTTTTGGAATGTAAGGGGAAAATGCTGAGGGAATATAGTTACAATTTCTTCTTCTAATTCTTTTCAACACTCTGGCTACAAACATTCTTGACTTTAATTTGACATTTTAGCTCATCTAAATGCTTTTGAACAACAACAAAAAATAGAACTCTAGGGCATTTTAAGAATCACAAATATGTCAATTAGGAGYAACAAGTACACTTTATTTTTTAGAATTTGAGAAAGGGTGTTTCTGATTTTGGAAACACTGCACAGGTGAAATAAGGTGGTCTTGGAAATTTGCTGTACTTGTGAGTTAAAAATGTTGCACTTTATTAATCGTTGCTTTCCAGTTTGCTAAACCTGCATTTGTTTTTGTGTGGGAGGATAGAATTCCTTTTTAAATCCATCAATTTAATTTTTATTTACTGGTATTAAATTTGAGTAAAAAAAATACCCCGATTTGAGCAGTAGTTTGTTTTTAAGAGGTATGGGATAAATC